GCTCCTGGTAATCCACCTCCACGAGAAGAATAAAGCTTACTGTGCCCCAGCTGAAATGCCTGAGCATCACTGTGGACAAGGTGTTGCATTAGTGCGCTGTGACTGGCATCAGGAAACATCCCATAATCCCCTGAAGTCAAGTGGCCACTTTTCTCATTGTTTTGAAATCAGCTGCAGGCATGCAGATATCCCCTTTCAAAGCTCCATTTCTGACATCCAGCATGCTTATCTGCCCTGGGACAAAAGAAACCATTAGTGTGGAATGCTGCTGTTGTGAGCGTGAGAGAGAGAGGTGGGGGAAGAGGGGTCTGCTGCTGTCTGAACTTACAAGACAGCATGCTGACACACTCTCTGCCCCCCAAACACATTGTCTCTCCCCCCACATACACACAACACACTCCCTGTCACACTCCAACCCTCGCCCCATTTGAAAAGCATGTTGCAGCCACTTGCAGACTGGGATAGCTACCACAATGCACTGCTCTTTGTGGTGTTGCAAGAGCTGCGAATGTGGCCATGACACTGCGCTTGCAGCTGACAGTGTAAACACATGGGAGCGTTTTCCCTGCTGCAGTCTCCAAAGGCTGGTCTAACTCCTAGCGTTCTACATCTGCAAGTGTAGCCATGCCCTAGGATAAGGGAAAACCCTGGTCCCTTAAAGCTCTTTGGATATATTACCTGATTGTTTGTGTGAAGATCTATTTATCTGAATCCCTAAACCTATGAGTGTCTCCCTTCCCCTTTGGCTTATGTGACCTGTCAACAGCAGGCCAGGGCAGCATATGAATCACTTGCTCTCCCAGTCTCTTGTCTTCATGCTAATTTTACACTTATGCAACAGATCAGGTGGAAGATAAAGGTGTGGGAAGAGGGAAGAATGGCCTAATTACCTCTTTGTTTGGGCCGGGTTAAAGGGACACAGCCAAAAATACTGGCTAATCCTATCAAACTGGATGACCTTATTTAAATGAAAAAAAGATCCAAAGAAGGACAATTCTGCTGACAACCAAATGCATAGTGGCAGCATAACTTAGATCAGCGTGTCTCATTCTAATCAGTCTGGAAAAAATGATTTTATGAACTTTGGTTTTGAGGCGATTTAAATTTTATTGTCTGTTACTGTGTTCATCATCATCTGCCTCACACTGGATCCAGCCAATTCTTCATAATAAGAGAGCATTTGAATGGAGGTGGGACAAGGCACATTTGGCTATTACCAATTCATGAACAAATGAATGCTAACTCCAGCCCTGCGCTCTTTCATTAGGAGTCTCTATATTTGCATCTGGGGGGAAATGACAGTTTTCAGGCAATAGATAGCAAAACCTCCTAGACCGCGTCCTATATATACTTAGGTTTTAAAAATGCCTTCTTTCAACCAGCTTTAAGATGCCAATTTTGGTCTGGCAACCTGTGGGCTGGGAGCACATTTAGCACTTGGAAGGTTGGTGTAATAGGGAGTGTCATGTCCCCCTAGTGACAACTCCTGCATTGCTAATTAATGAGCATGCTAAACTCAGAAGGAAATCCAAGCCACTCTGGTCCTACAGTAGAGCCCAGAGGCTCCAACTGAAATCAGGGCCCCATTGTGCTAGGTGTTGGAGAGTCATGTGGGGTAGGAATCATCTTACTAAGGCCACATCTACACTACCCGCTGGATCGGCGGGTAGTAATCCATCTATCAGGGATCAATTTATCGCGTCTCGTCTAGACACGATAAATCGATCCCCGAATCGACGCCCGTACTCCACCTCAGCAAGAGTAGTAAGCGGAGTCGACGGGGGAGCCACGGCGGTCGACTTGCCGCCGTGAGGACGGCCAGATAAGTCAAACTAAGATACTTCAACTTCAGCTACGCAAATAGCGTAGTTGAAATTGCGTATCCTAGATCAATCCCCTGCCGCCCCGAGTGTAGACCAGCCCTAAGAGCTTAACACCTAAATTGCCAAGAGAAAGTATTATCCTCATTTTACAGGATGAGGAACTGAGGCCCAGTCCTGCACCTGAACCACAAAACGTGCTTAGGTAGACAGATGCTGCAATTCAGGTCTGATGTTTTAGAATCATAGAATAACAGGGTTGGAAGGGACCTCAGGAGGTCATCTAGTCCAACCCCCTGCCCAAAGCAGGGCCAATCCCCAACTAAACCATCCCAGCCAGGGCTTTGTCAAGCCTGACCTTAAAAACTTCTAAGGAAGGAGATTCCACCACCTCCCTAGGTAACCCATTCCAGTACTTTACTACCCTCCTAGTGAAAAAGTTTTTCCTAATATCCAACCTAAACCTCCCCCACTGCAACTTGAGACCATTACTCCTTGTTCGGTCATCTGGTACCACTGAGAACAGTCTAGATCCATCCTCTTTAGAACCCCCTTTCAGGTAGCTGAAAGCAGCTATCAAATCCCCCCTCACTCTTCTGCAGATTAAATGAGCCCAGTTCCCTTAGCCTCTCCTCATAAGTCATGTGCTCCAACCCCCTAATCATTTTCGCTGCCCTCCGCTGGACTCTCACCAATTTATCCACATCCTTTCTGTAGTGGGGGGCCCAAATCCGGACGCAATACTCCTGATGTGGCCTCACCAGTGCCAAATAGAGGGGAATAAACACTTCCCTCGATCTGCTGGCAATGCTCCTACTAATGCAGCCAAATATGCAGTTAGCATTCTTGGCAACAAGGGCACACTGTGGACTCATACAGCTTCTCGTCCACTGTAACCCCTAGAACCTTTTCTGCAGAACTGCTGCCTAGCCATTCGGTCCCTAGTCTGTAGCAGTGCATGGGATTCTTCCGTCCTAAGTGCAGGGCTCTGCACTTCTCCTTATTGAACCTCAGATTTCTTTTGGCCCAATCCTCTAATTTGTCTAAGTCCCGCTGTATCCTATCCCTACCCTCCAGCGTATCTACCACTCCTCTCAGTTTAGTGTCTTCTGCAAACTTGCTGAGGGTGCAATCCCACACCATCCTCTAGATCATTAATGAAGATATTGAACAAAACCGGCCCCAGGATCGACCCTTGGGGCACTCCGCTTGATACCGGCTGCCAACTAGGCATGGAGCCATTGATCACTACCTGTTTAGCCTGACGATCTAGCCAGCTTTCTATCCACCTTATAGTTCATTCATCCAGGCCATACTTTAACTTGCCAGCAAGAATACTGTGGGAGACCGTATCAAAAGCTTTGCTAAAGTCAAGGATTAACATGTCCACTGCTTTCCCCTCATCCACAGAGTCAGTTATCTCATCATAGAAGGCAATTAGTTAGTCAGGCATGACTTGCCCTTGGTGAATCTATGCTGACTGTTCCTGATCATTTTCCTCTCCTCTAAGTGCTTCAGAATTGATTCCTTGAGGACCTGCTCCACGATTTTTCCAGGGACTGAGGTGAGGCTGACTGGCCTGTAGCTCCCCGGATCCTCCTTCTTTCCTTTTTTAAAAGATGGGCACTACATTAGCCTTTTTCCAGTCATCCGGACCTCCCCCAATCACCATGAGTTTTCAAAGATAATGGCCAATGGCTCCACAATCACATCCGCCACTCCTTTAGCACCCTCGGATGCAGCGCATCCGGCCCCATGGACTTGTGCTCGTCCAGCTTTTCTAAATAGTCCCGAACTACTTCTTTCTCCACAGAGGGCTGGTCACCTCCTCCCCATGCAGTGCAGCCCAGTGCAGCAGTCTGGGAGCTGACCTTGTTCGTGAAGATAGAGGCAAAAAAAAGCATTGAGTACATTAGCTTTTTCTACATCCTCTGTCACTAGGTTGCCTCCCTCATTCAGCAAGGGGCCCACACTTGACTTTCTTCTTGTTGCTAACATACCTGAAGAAACTCTTCTTGTTACTTTTAACATCTCTTGCTAGCTGCAACTCCAAGTGTTATTTGGCCTTCCTGATTTCACTCCTGCATGCCTGAGCAATATTTTTATACTCCTCCCTGGTCATTTGTCCAAGCTTCCACTTCTTGTGAGCCTCTTTTTTGTGTTTAAGATCAGCAAGGATTTCATCGTTAAGCCAAGCTGGTCGCCTGCCATATTTACTATTCTTTCTACACATCAGGATGGTTTGTTCCTGCAACCTCAATAAGGATTCTTTAAAATACAGCCAGCTCTCCTGGACTCCTTTCACCCTCATGTTATTCTCCCAGGAGATCCTGCCCATAAGTTCCCTGAGGGAGCCAAAATCTACTTTTCTGAAGTCCAGGGTCTGTATTCTGCTGCTCTCCTTTCTTCCTTGTGTCAGGATCCTTAACTCGACCATCTAATGGTCACTGCCTCCCAGGTTCCCATCCACTTTTGCTTCACCTACTAATTCTTCCCTGTTTGTGATCAGCAGGTCAAAAAGAACTCTGCCTCTAGTTGATTCCTCCAGCACTTGCACCAGGAAATTGTCCCCTACACTTTCCAAAACTTCCTGGATTGTCTGGGCACCACTGTATTGCTCTCCCAGCAGATATCAGGGTGACTGAAGTCTCCCATGAGAAGCAAGGCCTGTGATCTAGTAACTTCTGCTAGTTGCCGGAAGAAAGCCTCGCCCACCTCATCCCCCTGGTCTGGCGGTCTATAGCAGACTCCCACCAGGACATCACCCTTGTTGTTCACACTTCTAAACTGTAAAGACTGTAAGCCAGCAAGATGATTATGTATCATTTGAAGCTGCTTCAACAGTTCAGTCTATCAGAGGGAGAAAAAATTAAGAATCACAAAAGAAGCATGAGAGATGTGTTCACCGAATATGTGAAATAAGGTGGGGAGTTGATGAGGTGGTGAGATACAGGAACTATTCCTAATAGCAAGAGATGAAGAGGAAAAGGCTCTGATCAGGCTAGTGGCAGGATGAAAAGGTACTGTAAAGGTACATTATTTGTCACTAACAAAAGGCAAACAACAAGTCAGGGAAATGCTTCATCACTCAAAGAATATAGACCACAACATATGCAAATAATTCTATCTAACTGAGCCTCATGGTACAAAACATGTAAGATAATCACAGGGGTCACTCACGGCATTCCTTCTCGTCACTTTCATCGAAGCAGTCGGGCAGCCCATCACACTGCCAGGCCCCTGGGATACAGCGTCCGTTACTACACATGAAGTTTCCAGGAATGTTGCATTCATTTGTGAAGTTATTCCCAGGCAACAGTTGGCTCTCTGCAACAGAAGGGGGGGAAAAAACCAAACACCCAATATACAGGACCAGCTTTAACTTCACAAGGCATATCCCTGTGGTAAATGAACACATGGAGAGCCAATGATAATACTGTCCATCAATGAGATTAAACACAATGTACAGGCTACCCCTTCACAATGCTTCAAAAGGGGCTCACTATTCCCCACCTTCCAGCAGTGCCATCTTCTCCTCCTTTCCCCTTACTCCCACCCACTAGAGCAGGGCTAGCTCTTCCTTCCTAATATTTCCAGTCTAACAAGTTCATGAGAGACTACACACTGGACTCCAAATCCCCATACCTTTGTCTGATCAGTATTGTGTCTGCAGAACATATTCCTAACACCTCGAAGCTAGGTGGCATGTTAGTTAATGGATATTAACCTTTCAATTCAGTTTTAAATACAGTGCTGCTAGTCAAAATTAAAAGTGAGCTTTCTAATCTAGTTCCCTGGCATACATCTGTTCACATGCTAGTATGGCAGTTGGCACATTAAGGCAGCCTGCCAAGGAGAGGGAGTTCAGTACTAGAATGGCAGGAATGCTGCAGATCAGGATAGAAGCATGTTGGAGAAGTTTAGCGCTACATTTAACATGAGACACTCTAACCAGTAATATCAGTCAAGCTCTTGCATTTTTATGCACTGAAGCTCACAAATGCAATCATCACCGAGAGAGCTAAACTCCAATGAAGGAAGATGATACGGGGAGTATGCAAATACGTAATTAGGAAAGTGGTTAGTTTGCAGGTCAAAAATGAAGATTCAGGGATAGGGTTCCCCCTCCCACACCCCAGGGGAAAGGCAAGTTCTCCAAAGCTGCATTTCAGGTCTGAAACGGAACAACAAGTGACAGTACAGGATGGAATATGGAGGATTTCCTTTTCCTCATCCCTGTCTTTCTCCCTACCCTGCCCCGCCTTAAACTCCTTGCCCAGCCAGGCCCCAACTCTGGATGAGAAGGTGAGGTAGGGATGGTGGACAATCAGACTCTTCCCGAAATCCCTAGCATTTTTCCCTAATTTTATTCTTGCAAATGGCTGAGCTGTTTTTGTTGAAACTTCCCCCCTCAAAATTCAGCCTGCAGCAGACACCCATTCAGCCTGAACCATTAATGATTGGCAAAGTTATAAGCAACTGATAATCAGGTCTTATAATTAGGGCCCTACCAAATTCCCAGCCGTGAAAAACGTGTCAAGGACCATGAAATCTGGTCTCACCCCGTGAAATCTGGTCTTTTGCATGCTTTTACCCTATACTATGCAGATTTCACAGGGGAGACCAGCATTTCTCAAATTGGGGGCTCTGACCCAAAAGGGAGTTGCAGGGGGTGGGGAGGTGTCGCAAGATTATTTTAAGAGGTGTTGCGGTATTGCCAACCTTACTTCTGTGCGCCTTCAGACCTGGGCAGCTGGAGTGGCAGCGGCTGTTGGCCAGGTACTCAACATTGAAGGCAGCACCCCACCAGCAGCAGCATAGAAATAAGGGTGGCAATACCATACCATGCCGCCCTTATGTCTGCATTGCTGCTGACAGCGGCGCTGCTTTCAGAGCTGGCCACAGTGCTGCTGCTGACAGCAGCTCAGAAGTAAGGATTGCATGGTACGGTATTGCCACCCTTACTTCTGCGTTGGGCCCTTGGTCAGCAGCCGCCACTCTCCAGCTGCCCAGCTCTAAAGGCAGCAGCGCAGAAGTAAGGGTGGCAATACCACAACCCCCCCACTACAATAACATTGTGACTCCCTCCCCACAACTCCTTTTTGGGTCAGGACCCCTACAATTGCAGCACTGTGAAATTTCAGATTTAAATACCTGAAATCATGAAATTATTATTTTTAAAATCCTATGACCATGAAACTGACCAAAATGGACCGTGAATTTGGTAGAGCCCTACTTATAATGGGACAGATTGGGCAGCTTTAACTACAGGCTCCGCTACTAACTCTGTCTCCAGGGCTGTATAAAAAAAGCAGCCGCCACTGAGAACACAACAGACCCAATCAGACCATTCCTTTTCTGTTTTTACCAATTTCATCCAAACCTTCTCTTTCACTCCCTACTTCACTGCTTTCCTGTTCAAGTGAAACAGATTTAACTCACCTCACCTCCCAGTGCAGAAATGCTGCTATTTAGCACACGCTGGAAAGAGTCCCCAAGCTCAGTGCTTACTCACTCTAGCCTTGTCTTAACCAAGGAAAGCATCCATTGCTGACAGTGGCATTGGACAAGTCAATTCAACTCTGGGAATAATTTGTTTTAAACAAGAATCATAGAATATCAGGGTTGGAAGGGACCTCAGGAGGTCATCTAGTCCAGCCCCCTGCTCAGAGCAGGACCAATCCACAGACAGATTTTTGCCCCAGATCCCTAAATGTCCCACTCAAGGATTGAACTCACAACCCTGAGTTTAGTAGGCTAATGATCAAACCACTGAGCTATCCATCCCCCCTAAATATATGGAGATATACTTATCTCCTAGAACTGGAAGGGACCCTGAAAGGTCATCGAGTCCAGTCCCCTGCCTTCACTAGCAGGACCAAAAACTGATTTTGTCCCAGATCCCTAAGTCGCCCCCTCAAGGATTGAACTCACACTGACTATCCCTCCCCCTTAATTAAAAATGGTTTGTCCTGGGCTATCCTGCAGGGAAAATTGTGTGTACCAGCAGTTCAACTGCAGCAGGGCACATGACTAGGGCAGAGCCTTAGAGCACTGTCATAGGCCTTGTCTACACTGCCACTTACAGCGCTGAAACTTTAGTTGCTTGGGGGTGTGAAAAAACACCCCCTTGAGCGATGCATGTTTCAGCGCTGCAGAGTGCCAGTGTAGACAGTGCTACAGAACTGGGAGCTATTCCCCTCGCGGAGGTGGTTTTATTACAATGCTAGGAGAGCTCTCTCCCAGCACTGGAGCCGCGACTACACAGCCATGTTAAGGCGCTGCCAGACACCCATAGACACAACAAGTTTGGCATTCTAATGCTCAACCACCAAGTCAACTTTTATTGTTGCCTTAATCCAGTTCAAGTCATTTCTCTCATCACTGATCTGTATCTGCTTAGCAATAATGCAGAAGGTGAAAAGGATCTGTCAATATTACAGCAACCCTCTATTAGCAAACAGCCACCACTGTGCTAATAATACAACACATATGCCTGCAACCGAAGAGAACCTATAACAATCATACCAACTAAGGTTTTCTTTAGCTAGGTAAAGAAATATGAAACAAGATAGCTGGAACAATTTTTCCCCCTGTGAAGGTACAGTTGATCTGTGTTCACCTTACATTTATTATACAGCATCCAGCAGTTTTAAGATTCAGCAGGATTTTTAAAATATACATTTTATAGAGAGGTCAGCACCGCATCAAAGGAACACTTTTTTTGGTAGCCAGTTGCTATTTAATTATAACAATGACAGGTATTTCTAAACAGATCCGGGATGGAAAGAGAAAAATGTTTTACAGCTGTTAATCACTGTGAGGGGGAGTTATCCTCATTTCATAGAAAAGGAAATTAAGGCACAGAAACCTACTCGACATTAGGATTTTCTGATCTGGCATTCCCAAAAAGTGCAGATCCATGGATGACTGCATCGGAGGAAGCTGTAGAAAAGTTTCATCGTTTTTTTGCCACCATGTCATCTAATAGTTCTCAAATCACACATGGAGCTGCACCCATTTGAAACTAAGGCCTGGTCTACACTATGACTAATTCGGATTTAGCAGCGTTAAATCGAATTAACCCTGCAACCGTCCACACAACGAAGCCATTTAATTCAAAATAAAGGGCTCTTTACATCGATTTCTGTACTCCACCCCGACGAGCGGAGTAGCGCCAAAATCAATTTTATTTCAAATTAGGGTTAGTGTGGCCGCAATTCAATGGTATTGGCCTCCGGGAGCTATCTCACAGTGCAACATTGTGACCGCTCTGGACAGCGATATGAACTCGGATGCACTGGCCAGGTAGACAGGAAAAGCCCCGCGAACATTTGAATTTCATTTCCTGTTTGCCCAGCGTGGAGAGCACAGGTGACCACAGATAGCTCATCAGCACAGGTAACCATGCAGGCCGATAATCGAAAAAGAGCACCAGCATGGACCATATGGGAGGTACTGGATTTGATTGCTATATGGGGAGAGGATTCAGTGCTAGCAGAACTTCGTTCAAAAAGACGAAATGCAAAAAACTTTTGAAAAAATCTCCAAGGGCATGATGGAGAGAGGCCACAATAGGGACTCAGATCAGTGCCGTGTGAAAGTCAAGGAGCTCAGACAAGCCTATCAAAAAACAAAGGAGGCAAACGGTCGCTCCCGGTCAGAGCCACGGACATGCCACTTCTATGACGAGCTGCATGCAGTTCTAGGTGGGGCCGCCACCACAACCCCACCTCTGACCGTGGATTCCGAGGCGGGGATAATCTCATCAGCTACACTTGAGGATTCTGCGGATGGGGAAGAGGAGGAGGAGGACGACGAGCTTGCAGAGAGCACCCAGCACTCCGTTCTCCCCAACAGCCAGGATCTTTTTCTCAGCCTGACTGAAGTACCCTCCCAACCACCGCGGTATCCAAGACCACGACCCCATGGAAGGGACCTCAGGCGAGTTTACCTTTTAAAATATAAAACTTGTTTTAAAAGCAAGGGTTTTTAATGATTACTTTGCCCTGAGGACTTGGGATGCATTCGCAGCCAGTACAGCTACTGGAAAAGTCTGTTAACGTGTCTGGGGATGGAGCGGAAATCCTCCAGGGACATCTCCATGAAGCTCTCCTGGAGGTACTCCAAAAGCCTTGCCACAAGGTTTCTGGGCAGTGCAGCCTTATTCCGTCCTCCATGGTAAGACACTTGACCGCGCCATGCTTGCAGCAAGTAATCTGGTATCATTGCATGACAAAGCCTGGCAGCGTATGGGCCCGGTGTTTGCTGGCATTCAAGCAACATCCGTTCTTTATCTCGCCGTGTAATCCTCAAGAGAGTGATATCGCTCATGGTAACCAGGTTGAAATACGGGAATTTAATTAAGGGGACAGAGGTGGCAGTTCCTACTGGGCTCTTTGCCTGTGGCTGAAAAGAAATCCTTCCCTGCAATTAGCCAAGCGTGGCGGGGGGGGGGGGGGATTGGCCCAGAGCTTTTCACATTTGGCTAGCAGGGATCTTCCCTGTTACCAGCCATGCAGTGCGGGGAGGGATAAAGCGATCATCCAGAGAATTGGATT